GTTTTTAGGCTTTATTGTGTTCTCGATTTTAAATATATAACAAGCAAATCTTCTTTTATTTGTTTTTAAATTTACTATTATCGTTGTAATATATAAATTTTTCAAAAAACTATGGAGCAAAGCTCCATAGTTTTTTGAAAAATTTCAAATGAATTGCTGATTCCATGCACTAGTTTTTTGTGTCAATAGATTCCCTCATTCTTTTGAAACTTGGTAATTTTTTTTTGATTTGACATCCAACTCTAACTGAGTATAGGCTACCTCCATATCTACTTAGGCAATTATTTTCAAACCATAAACTCTATCTATTACCGAATCCAATGTTGGTATTTGGCATCTTTATTGTTAGTAGTTATTTTGTTTTTAGCTTTAATTTCAGATTTGTAACAACCTATTAATTTTAAAGGCTTTAAAGAATATCGAAATAAGTTTGTTGCTGATTTCTTGATTATTAAATTAGGATTGTTGTTTCTAATTCTTTAAAACGTTTAATCATCATTTTTATTGTGACATTTGCCACTATTACGTTTATTCATTTTGTTTTATTATATTGTCTTTTCTGTGTTGACTACATGTCAAGGCGAGCATTTTCTCTGATTAATTTTCTGAGCTGTGTTCACTTTTAGCTTTATAATTTATCTCAATAACTTTTCGATTTGTCCTCATTAACTTGTCGATTGTCCATGTGTACAATGGTTGTAGAGTATTTCGGCAACAAATAGCCAAATAATTTTTCTTTTGACATTTGAGACACATATTTCCAATAGCTTTGCAATCTTTTTGGTGTCCAACAAAGTACATCTCCCCGCATTGAAAACATTACAAATTATTTTCTTTTTTGTCTGTAATATCATTTCGTTAGGTCTTGACTTCAAACCTGTTATTTGTTTTCTTTTTCTGAAAAAGGTTTTTTTTAAAAGATCTATTAATTCGGTTTCCTCTGTACATTTATTTGCTTTTTTATCAGACATTTCTTTTGCTGTTGTGTTGACACCTTCATGTTTCGACCAGTTTTAATAGTTTTAATAATAATAATAATTTCTCTATCTTTGAGAAGTTTATTTCTCTATCTTTGAGAAGTTTTTCTTTTAATTTTACAGAATAACATGTTGATATAAACTGATCTTTCACTGCCTCTGTAACATTTGGAAAGACATAGTATTCAGCTTGTTTTTTTAATCGCGTAACGAAACTCACTGTACTTTCCTCTTCATTTTGTTTGATTCTTGTAAAGACGTAAAGTTCGTTTGTTATATTCTTTCTTAGACTGAAATATTGATCAAGTTTATCACACATTACATTGTCTTGATCAGTGTCCTTTAAGTGTTTTATATATTTCTTTTACATCCTTCCTTGCTATTTGCAGAAGCAACGCCTTTTTTTGAGCATCTTGCGTGACTACAGTTGCAGCTAGGTACAACTAAAAAATTCTCTTATATGTTTTTCACTGTTTGTCTAAATTGGTTGTGTCATTTTGATTTATAACAAATTGATCTACAGGTTAATTTTTTATTTTTTTCCCATTATTTAATTTTCGTCGTCAACTGTTGCGTTCTAGACTTCATATATAACTAACAACTCTTATTTTATTTGTTTTAAGATTCATTATAATAATACATATACATATTACAACGTTTATAAACATGAAAAAATCTTAACGCCACGACTTAATTTTTCTTATTAACTTAGGAATTATAATGCGTTCCACATGAACGCACTCTTTTAAATCAAATGTTATGAATTTCGTTACCAACTCTCAACAGGTATGTCTTAAAGCTTTTACGTGAATATTTCTGTGACATGTTTAACTTTTATCGTGTACTATGTGGCAGGTATTGTAAAGCGGTTTAATGATAGTTCCGGTTAGTTCAATGATTTTCGTTTCGGTCATTTACCGGTAAATCAATATTTTTAGGCGTATATATATATTTTTAGTAATATATATTTTTATATATATATTTTAGTAATATATATTTTTAGGCAATATTTTATATAATTAGGCGATAAGTTTTTTGTACAGTTATTATTTATAATATTTTCGGGTCATTCAGTTATATAGATAACACAAAATATCTCTATTGAGTTTTAAATAAAGTATACTCTTAAACAGTTAGAGGAACATAGTGGGATAGAATATTTTATTTAAGTTTTGAGTTTAGACATGAAATACTGTATCTCGCTGTTAGAGTGAACATTAAATAATTTAGGTAAATGTGTTTAGATTTTTTTTTTTTGTTGTTGTTTTTTGTGTTGTTGTTGTTGTTTTCTTTTTTTGTTTTTCTCTTATTAATTGAAGAAGTATAATAGAAACATTGCAAAGTTCATTTTATTTATTTTGTTCATTAAATAAGTTTGCTAAAACGTTTAATTCAGCGGTTGATTACATTGTTTAGTTGTCATTGCGTGTGACGCTGTCAAAGCAAAATTTAATTGATATTAAATGCAGTGTTGGTGAAGTTCTGCTTTTTTTGACATAAAATACTGCGTTGGCTTATTGCGCTTTAAAATTAGATCGCGATCATGAGAAAAGATATTGTATAAGTTTTTAAAAAGTTATTTGTATAAATGAAAAAAGCGGCCGTGGCGCAGTGGTTACAGCGCTTGCTTTATAAGCAAGAGATCTAGGTTAGAAACGAGCTCTGTACATATTTTTGCGTCATGGTAAGGAAGGAGGCTTTAACTTACTGGTTAAATGCACTTCCGCGGTGCTCTTTGACAAGACCGTTAGGTCTTCTTGGGGCACCTAGATAAATAAAAAAATTAAAAAAATTATCTAGTGTTATAAATAGTGTTACTTAATTTATATTCAAAAACTTACCAGTAATTTAGGTTAGGAAAGAGGCGTGAACTTCCGAATGCTCATCCGTGGTGCTCTGTGATAAGACCCTAAGGGCTTCTTGCGGTTAGGGATGGCTTTTTTTATTTACTTTTTTTTTTACTTACACGAATAAGTTAATTAATTCTTATCAAAAAGTAAATTACATAAGTTATTTTAAACGTTTAATGTAAATTTCCATTTCAGTATAAGTAATACATTTTTTCGAAAAAACTTTTACTTTATAATGTAAGTTTTTTTACTTTTAAAAGTAACTTATGTAAATGGAGACTACTTAAAGAAGTAATTTACTTTTACATGTATAAGTAAGTCACATGAAAAAGCTGTTTACTTTTACATATAAAAATTAATTACTTTTAAAAATTACATTACATAATGTAAAAGTTCCTGAAACTCTAATTTACATTTGCTTATAAAAGTAACTAATTAAAAAGATTTATATTAAAAAAAAAAAAAAACATGCTTATGAAAATAAATTACAGTAATATGCTATCAAATGTTAACTAAATTTACAAATAAATTAATATTTTTTAAGTAGGAATTTTTTTATTTTAATAGTAATAACAAATCTTTGTTAAAAATAAATTATATAAAATAAGATTTAAATTGCATAAGTTTACATTTTACCTGACGGGCATTTGTTTTTAAAAGTTACGATCTAAATGTATTTTAAATGTCTTTTAAACGTCTTTTAAACATTAATGTTTAAAAGACGTTTAAAAGACGTTTAAAACACATTTAGAACGTAACTTTTAAAAACAAATATCCGTCGGGTATATAATTTTTAAAGTAAATTAAAAGTTATTTATATAAAATAAGTAAGCAAATTTAATTTTATTCTACAACAACTTTAACAGGATCTTGTACAACAGTAAAGCAAAAAAGCAAAGTCTAGAATTCAGGCAAAGCTGAAACATGGCAGTGAGAAGGCGCATATATACATGAGAGACTCAGGGTTGACTAATTGAAAGGCATAATTGGGATAATTGTTAGTTCTTTTCGCAGGTTTTTTGCGGAAAAGTTTTTAATATTGAAAAACTAAGGAAAGTTTAAATGAATCCTGGATCATGGGTGGCTATAATCCCATATCGTCAGGTTAGAATTATTTTTTTCTAACTCTCCATTTGTTTAAACTGAGATAAATCAAGTTGAAGTTTTACACTGCAATCCAGCAGAAGTGGCAATACATTTTTTAATAATGCAAACGTTTTTCAATACTTGACTATATTATAATTATTTATACTCGTTATAATTATTTGTTGTGAAAAATTTTTTTTTTTTTTTGCTCAAATTGCTATTATGGCCCCACCCTGTTTGGAGATGGAACAAAATAACTTTTAAATTTTAATTTTGTGTTTAATATTATTTTGTGCTATCTCCATTTTTTAGTAAATACAACTTGAACGTTTTGCGAGGAGTTGATGGATTACAAGAAATTACTTTTAACTTAGGGATTTAAAAGCAAATATAGACCCTAAAATAATTTTATATCTAGAAAACTTATTAATTTCATTTAATAAGTTTTCTAGATATATTGCTTCTGGTAGGATGGGCAGCTTCAATTTTAACAAACTGATTTTAACCAAAGCAATATTATTTATAATATAGCTTTGGTTAAAATCAGATAAATTACTTTTATCTAAAAAGATTTATTGAAAATAAAAAATAAATGTCTTTAATACAAATAACAAGTTAAGAACAGTTTAAATGAACCTTATACAAGATAAAACTGAATAGTGCTTAACACAAATAAAGTATATCCGGATAAATAGTTGAAAAAACAAATACTGAAATAATGTTTTATAGAAACAAACATCTACAGCTGACATCTAAGGATACATAAAAACAATGTCTTTTATCTTCTCACTAGAAATTTCAATATTTTGTCGAAAACAAGATGCCAATGGAATTGATGATTCTTCAAGATTACTTCCTGATGATCGTGTATTTTTTGGCTTAGACAGCCGTGTCTCTTTATATATATCTGTAAAACGAGTCTTGAAATACACATGACCAGGAGCATTAAACCTATATACAAGCGTTTTAACATTAAAGTATGGAACATTTTTGTAGTTCAGAAGACTAGCAATTTTTGAAAAATTTTTAATATCGCTTTTTTGCATTTGGTATACAAAAAATGGTTTACGATGGTTAACATTCAACATTGCTTTCACCAACCCAAGAGGACTAAATATTTCTGCTAATGATTTCTCAATCTGACTATGTATATTATCACAT